ATTTCTATGGAAGAAATTGACATCTAAGAACACTACAATAAAAGCCTGTCCAAAAGCAACAATTAATATTGTCTTAACGAGACTTTTAACAACCATGTCTACATCATATTGACATGGGTAATATATGTTTTATGGAATGTCTGGGTGAAAATTGGTGGTTTATAGATGGTAAATTACATATTTTAAATAATCATTTAAGCAATATTAATAGCTATATCAAGTTAACTTCTATCTAGATTAGTTTTTAGTTAAAATACATAACAATTTCATATCAATTTAAAATCCATTTGTTAAAAGCAATATTAAAGTGAAATATTAATACTCAACAATAATACTACACCAATTACAGGTGAGTTCTAATGGCATGGCAAGATTAACAAAATGAGAAAGATTCAATTATTTAAATAATTTGTGGGAAATGGTAAAACTATTTACACCTACTTTAACTTTATATGGTATTGCGCTATCGTTCATATGGAAAATATGAAATATAGCATGCTTTTCTTCTCTTGTCTTTTCTTAAATTTTTCAAATAGTTTCTCCTTTGTCTTAAAGTTACACTTACATTGTTTCAGCTTCCAATATTGTATATGACACAATTCAATGTATTCTATCAGAAAAATAAAGATTAAAAAATAAACACTGGCTGGATGAAGAATGTGAAATGGACATCCAAATGAACTGCCTTGCACACATATATTTTGCTTTGCTTTTTAAAAAAAAAATATACGCTAACTGCAATAGGAAAAAATGTAATGTTTATTTTGATTATTCCTGTAACTTCTTAAATACACAACAGAGGCGGATATAGGGCTGGGGGCAGGGTGCCTGGGGGCAGGGTGCCTGGGGCCTCCCTTATGGACCTAAAAATATGGTTAATGCATAGACGTTTCATATGTCCTACTCTATACGTTGCCTAGTTTGTGGCCATTGGTCCCCCTTTATCAAAATCTGGGATCTGCATCTGCACAATTGTTAACTTTAGCTTGGTTATCGTTATGATAATAACAAAGGTATATATGTATATAATAAATTATTTTGTATTTCAACATGTTGATCAATATAAAATTTTTTGATCTACACACTTATAAAAATGAAGTAATTTTATGCAGCAGGTATTCAAATAAAAACATTGAAGTTTTCTGCTCTATGGTATTCTAATTATTTGAATAGTATTAATCCTAATGCATGGTAACTGCATACTAATGATAATACCATGGTATACAAATAAAAGTCTCACAACAAAATATGTCATAGGGCAAAAGGTCACAAAATTGATAGAACAAAATGTCACAGGACAGAAGGCACAGAATTGATATGTCAAAAAAGTCACAGGGCAAAATGTAACAAAATCAATAAGACCGAATATCACAAAGTTGATAGTACAAAAAGTCAAAGGACAGAAGATCACAAAATTAAATTATTAAGACAAAAATTCACATGACAGAATATCAAAGTTGAAAGAACAATAAGTCACATGGCAGAAGATCACAAAATTGATACGACAAAAAGTCACTATACAAGATGTCACCAAAATTAACAGCACACTAAGTCACAACAAATTAGTGTACCATGATTTGAATATATAAGACAAAATTAGCAATGTTAAATGAAGATTTATCAAATTTCAATCATACAAAGGATATATTTCACCATGAACCCAGTCAACAAACCAGCCACTTGGACAGCTTGTTTTCTCAACAAATATTTGATCACTACTTAAGTTTTAACAAAAAAATTCATTTACAAACTTGTTTAATATAGAATAGTTAAATGTTAAACAAAACACACAAAAAAAACTTTAAAAAATAAGTCTTGAGTAAATAAACGTAAAAAATTCTGAAATCTGAATTGACTTTTGTCCAGTGACTTTCTGTCCTCTGACTTTTTGTCCAGTGACAAAAACAGTGACTTTTTGTCCTGTGACTTTTTGTCCTCTGACTTTTTGTTCTGTGATTTTTTGTCCTGTGACTTTCCTTTCCTACTTTCTACAACCACATGTATGTAACAAATTCTGAAATACTATAAGTCTGTATCAGATGGGAAACCTGTGATTTATTTAGATAAATATGAAGTCAGTACCAACAAATCACATCAAACCACATCAAATTTTTTCTGATCTGTGTTTAGGAAAGCCAATAGGACCTAGATCTGTGAATTCCAGTTTTTGCTGCTGTGACATTAGTCATCTTTTTCTTTATATTCTAACATTTTGGCATAACTAGTGCAGCCAGTTAATTCCCCATCACATGGGTTATTTCTGCTTCTGTGACAAGCCATGTTATTTAAGATATGCTCAATGAAAAGTCTTAGATCTAAATTTGTGATATTTATGTTTTGAATTCCAGCTTCATTTCTATCCATTTTGTGTGTAGGTTAGTGTTTTATTGGCCTTTATACACATCTATATTCCTATCTATGTATGTAAGGTCATTTGTATTCCAGAGTTAAGTGACAAAAGTCTATCACACCAAGAAAATTACTCTAAACAAAAGTACACTTTTAGTCCTTTGGTACTGACATGATTGATAACAAACCTTTCTAAAATTGTCCATTTATAAATTTATAAATTATAAAGAAACTCAGGTTTCAACTCCCTCAGGCAAAGTTGACCTAAGATGGATTTGGCTATTAATTTTAAGTTCCTTTTTTGTCTTCTAGCTCTTCAATTGTTTCGGTTCTTATACATCCTTGGCTTTCAAATATTCGACTTTGTACAGTTCTGATGATGGTAAATCCAGAAAAGAGCTTTGGATGCATGAAATTTATAAAGTTTTGTTTTAATTTTTTATAATTATATCAACAAAAATGAAACTATGATTAAATATATTATCAAATTTGAGATAATATCATTTGCAAAAGTTTTTGAAGTATTGATTGCTTAAGAAAGAATTTAAATTTTCATGTAAAAATCAACCCTTATTTCTTATAATCAGTTTACATAAAAAAAACTTTAACCCTCAATGGTTTCATGGTACATGTAGTGCGCCTGGAGTGAGGGAGGTCATGGGTTCAATTCCTGAGTGGGCCAATTAAAAGACTTTTAAACTGGTATTTGCTGCTTCTCTGCTAAGCACATGGCATAAGGCAAAGAATGGTCAGCTCAGATCAAGATAAAAGAATCAGCATGCCTGCAGACTGTTACCATGTGGACTAGAATGTTAAAAATCTCACTAAGCTTATTGGTCTGTTACAAAGCAGAGTTTATATCCCTATCACATTAGAATTTTCTTGTCACAAGTATGTATCTGATACTTTCCACTGACATTACTGGTAACTGTCCATCTATCATCAAAAACCATGGTGATCAATCCACGAAAGTTGGAATATAAAGGTTTTTTTTTACATTTACAAACCAGAAAATTCTGTCATTTGTATCATAAATTTGAGACAACAGACACAAACTGAATAATTTTTCATGTTTTATATTTTTCACAAATACTTTTTAGTTTTATATTTGCAAAAACTTAATGTAGTTAAAAATGCCTCCCTGAAATTTCCTCTGATTTGGAGATGAAGCTGATAGTAAGAACCATACAATGACCTGCAGTTGTATCTTTAAATTCATTTTTTATTTCAAATTATAGGATAAAGTCTTAAAGGGGCACTAGCTACGAGATATATAAAAAATCTAAAATATGATTTTTTTTGTTCAATCATTAATGAAAGTGAAATAGTGAAATAATAATTTGCTTTTAGCAGCCAGTATGGTTTAATTTTGTCAAAATAAGCTAAGAAACATTGATGATGAATTATTCACTTGCAAGTGAATAATTCAACCTCATTGAATCCGTATTCATGTGAACTTCAATTTAACCCATTAGCTAGAGATGGATAACGCATGAATTGTGCGTGTGTTGTTATTTAAAGGAAAAGAATGTCAACATTGAAAGTGAAACAAAGGTAAATAATTTGATTGACTGATTCGATCCACAAAAAATCATTCTTATACAGGTAAAATGATGATTAACATATATATTTTAATCTATAATATGAAATTAAAACCGACCTAGAAAAATCCAATTGCACGAGTTCATTATCTAATTATATCTATATTTATGTTTATATCGCTTATATGACCATCAGAGGTCTTCGGAGGTCAACTCAATAGCTAATTAGATGGCGTCTAGACTAAAATACACGAAACGAAGCTACATATTATCGAGCCCATGCCCTGTAAATTGTTTATTTTAGACTTTTTATTATTTGGATAGATGTTTTACATTGTTATGAATCAAATATGAGAATTTGAGTCAAATCGGTGAACATGAATTTGACAGCTAGTGCCCCTTTAAATATACAGAGACGAACATATCTTTTCTTATTTGCTTTTAAATGGCATATACTATTTATTTCCCTGTTTTAAAAGAAAATGGCTAACTTGAGAAGTTATGAAGCTCAATGGATATAGATAAAAAAAAATATAAGCATCTTTTCATAAATATGATTTATTCAAGTAAATACTCCAATGTCACATTTCTCTTGGACTATGTAAAACATAAAAGGGTTTGCTGTAGATGAGAATATATTCTCAATCTCATCCTTTTGATATTGTATGAATATTTATCAAATTGGCAATTATACTGAAATTCTATATTTCTTAATAGTAATTAACAAGAATTGACACTTGCTCTTTGAAATTGTATAACTTTGAACAGTTTGAGGGCTACCTTCTACTAAATTTAACATACCCTTGAAATCTGTTGTGGAATGATAGAAGTCAAAGCAAGATGCTGCACATATCAATCCTATAATTTATCATATGTGCAGAAATTATGTCGATCTTTTGATTATATCAGGAGTGGTCTATTATGAATAGGCAATTTCATTTATTTTCAGCATTATATTAGGCTTTTATAAAATTATGACATTACAGTATTTTCAACTTACGTTAATATTCCATTAGGAACAATAATCCAAATTCTACCACAGGGAATAACAACAATTATATGTACTAGCCGATTAATGAATGATCAATAAAGTAGTAATTGTTTACTTACAAATATGACAAATATTTCCACTTCACTAATTACATCTCCATTCATCAAATGTTCTTTCAGGTGGAACTGTGTGGGTGGGGACGTGAAGCAATGTTGACAGAGTAATTGCGGTGTATATTCCAACTGTCCTCCTGTGTCAATAAAAAACAACTTTAAGTCCAGATTATCACCACTCAATAAATTATATGTGATGTTCTGTCTGTTATTAAGAATGTGAAAACATAAAAAAAAGTTTGTAATAACATTCAATGTTGTTCAGTGAAGTGTAAAACATCAGAGAAAATACATTTCCTAGGTAAAATTACAGGTAAATAAGTTCTCAGGTAAAAATTGATGGGGGATTCTTACAATGTTATCATCAATAATCGGGAAATTTTCCAAAAACAATTTTGATAAATTTCTCTGACAAATGTACTTAGTTTATTAAATGTCAGATATTTAGATCCACATTTAATATAACGATATATAACTACAAGCTAATATGTTATGTAATATTCCATTCATACATTTCAAAGCCTACAACTAACTATGTTAAAATTTAATTAAATACATCCCAGGAAACATTTCCATCTCTTCATTTCTGACAGCTGGTAATTCTATGAATCAGCTACAATTTAGTTATAAATACATTATAATACATGACATTCAACACTTATAATTATAAATACATTATAATACATGACATTCAACACTTATCAATACTGTCAACTTTTCTTAAATAGCTTAATACCTTATATATATCTTAAAAGTTTCAAACTTAAAAAGAAAACTAATTTCAGTCTCCAATATTTCAAAATGTCCTCAATCTAAAAAGTGCCCATAGTTTCTTTTTCTTCAATGCCTTAATCAATTTTACTTTAAAAAATGTCTTTTAATTGGCTAATACAATGTTTCAGTGTCTTAAATGAAGAATTGAATTGTCAAATAAATATTCCATCACAATTTTTGAAAATACAAAAAAATGTATATTTAAACATTCAAATATATGCTTTAGATTTATTTTTTCTTCATTAATTATTTTTTTAGAAGAGACTGTAGAGGATACAAAAGGTCAATAGTCCCCAATATAATACTTTATTTAATACTATTTACCCACACTTGAAGGAAGTATCATATTGATGGTGTCTGAAGACCTTGTGAAGAGATGCAGACAACCTCACCTACAACTCATTCTAAACCTGAGTATATGGACTTGTAACACATGAAACTTCCATACAGTCTTCACAAACTATGAGCATTGTGCATTGACTATTTTTTTAGTTATCAAAATGATTATAATATGTATTTGGTTTCTAGTTACAAATTTGGATTTTGGCATTTTACAATAATGAGTTGGCATACTGGGATCCTAGTTGCAATTCCTTCTAAGAAAATGAATAGATTTTAATGAAACTTTCATATTGTATACAGTGCCTTTGTGCACCTTCAAACCTATTTATGAGTAATAAAGTTTTTGTGATAGACGGCTGACCAAAAAATAGATTAGCAATGAGCAAGAAGGGGGTGTAAAACATGCAAGCTATGCTCATAGTGCACCTAGTTATCCATCTTATCTTATGTTTTAAATAGAATATAACTCTCAAATGGATTATTTCATCATTTATCACTGATAGTACCTTACTTAACAAATTTTCACCAAACAAAACTTAATAAAAACCATAAACAAATATAATATCTGAATTTTACAAATACTAATTCTGGCAAGGGTACATGTATAAGTCAAGAACAGTCATTAATTTACTTGTTACCTAGTTAATTTTCTGACAAGCCTTTACCAAATGTTTAACTATTCAAATAAGTCATTTGGGTAGTGAAAAAATATCTAAAATTGTATCTACCCATAAAAAGGATTTTAATTTCAAATTACTTATCAGTAGCATTTCTTTGTATCAAAGTATCAGCTGTGTAATTCATCATTTTTCTATATATATTTCAAGGGGCATAAGACAAATATTATGATTAAAAATAAGATACAGCCATGAGGGCGTAACACTTCAGATATTATGGTTCATGCAAAATGATAAATTTCAATAATTTTAAAGGAAAAACATGATAAAAGTACCAAGTACAATTAATGGCATATACCAAGTACCATTAATGGCATCTACCAAGTACCATTAATGGCATCTACCAAGTACAATTAATGGCATCTACCAAGTACCATTAATGGCATCTACCAAGTACCATTAATGGCATCTACCAAGTACCATTAATGGCATCTACCAAGTACCATTAATGGCATCTACCAAGTACCATTAATGGCATCTACCAAGTACCATTAATGGCATCTACCAAGTACCATTAATGGCACCTACCAAGTACCATTAATGGCACCTACCAAGTACCATTAATGGCATCTACCAAGTACCATTAATGGCATCTACCAAGTACCATTAATGGCACTACCAAGTACCATTAATGGCATCTACCAAGTACAATTAATGGCATCTACCAAGTACAATTAATGGCACCTACCAAGTACCATTAATGGCATCTACCAAGTACCATTAATGGCATCTACCAAGTACCATTAATGGCATCTACCAAGTACCATTAATGGCATCTACCAAGTACCATTAATGGCATCTACCAAGTACCATTAATGGCATCTACCAAGTACCATTAATGGCATCTACCAAGTACCATTAATGGCATCTACCAAGTACCATTAATGGCATCTACCAAGTACCATTAATGGCATCTACCAAGTACAATTAATGGCATCTTGGTGTAATGATTGATTGTTTGTGTTTAACACCAATGTTTACCACTATTATCTCTATTGTGGTGGTCAGTTTTTATTGGTGGAGGAAGCAAAGTGCCCCAAGAAAACCATGACCTTCGGAAGGAAAACTGACAATAATTGGAGTTGAAAGCTACTGCCACATGCAGGGTTGGAACTCAGTGTTGATAGGCTAGTGATACAGTAGATGAACTACTTAGACCACTCTGACCCACATCTTGCTGTTAATTATCATGTAAAAGATATAAAGTAGCGAATGAAAGTATACCAAAATAACTGTGCACATAATTAACACTCACCAAAAAAAGAAAAGGGAAACAAGAATATATCTCCATAGGAGACCATGCCCAACTCCCACTATCACATTTCCATGTTCAGTGAAACATGAAATCTGGGTCACAATCCTAACTTGGCATATATTTTCAAAAGTTTACATCATAATGAACATGTCTACTTAATTTCAAGTTCATGGTAAACTTACTTAAAATAAACATTTAATCTTGATCAGGGGTGGACAGACGGACGTACTAACCTTCATACTAGAAAAATTAATGCCCCCCCCCCCCCCCTTACTATCTTAGACAGGGCATACAAATAATCTTGTAAAAGAGTTTCATGAATTAAAAATAAAAAGAACCTCTTGATATTGCTTTGTTTTAAAACATTAATACCTTTTCTTCTATCTTTTCAAACATTAAGAACTATTAGACTGTAGACGGAACGCGTGATTGATTATTTAACAGCATGGAAGTCTTTGGAATTTTTGCTAATCAGATCTTTAATGCTTGTTATTTTCCCTCATACAATCTCAGGTGCTAAGTCTCATTTTTCTTTATTGATTTATCTACGTTTAGAAGACAGATTAAATCATTTATATTCTTGACTGCTGATAAAGTCCTTTGTATATATGAAATACATTTATGTTAAAATTCCATTTCTACTGAGAGTAAACCATTTAATTAAAAGGTTTATCAAAGTATCAGTGACAAGTTTGTTTGCTTGATTCCTGTCATACATATGTATCTTAGGTGGCATGGAAGGATTAAATGAAGGGGAATAACATCTACCATGATACAGATCTGAATCAAAAGGGGAGATAACCTCTGAGGAGATAACCTCTATCATAACACAGTTTGTTTATTTTTTATGGCTACAAGTACAGCAGTGTTGATTGTGTTTTTCAAGATTTTCCCAACATTTTCCAATACATTTCCTACCTGTAGAGTAAATAGGTAAAACTGCATTCTACTTTTATTTTTCAAGTAAAATAAATTTGGTCCAAAGGAAAACATTTTAAAATGGGGATATCCGAAAGAATTTAAAATCTCAACAAAGGTTATATATGCCTATATTTTATGTTTGAACTGGCAGATATTTCTTTATAGAATTTTAGGTGTGGGAAATCAGGATGAGCAACTTGGCAAAAAAAAAGGCAGAATGACAATTTATGTAAAAAAAGTCAGGATAAACTAATAAAAAAAAAGGGCAGGACCGAATAGAGTGAAAAATAAAAAGGCAGGACAGAGATTACAACTAAAAAAAAAATGCAGGACAAAATTTTTCATCCTAGCCCCCCCCCCCCCATAAAAATCAAATGGTAGCTCCCTAAATGTTACTAAAAAATGTACTGTTAAAATAATTCTATACTAGTATCTACCATGGATCAAATTCTTTTGTACTGCATAGTTTGGGGCAATGGGACAAACTACTATGCTTGTTTATTGGAAATAATCAGAATTGTATAATCAATAATATTTCATTTTGATATATTTGTCATAATTTTTTTCACAAGCGATATTCCTTCAATTGATCGTGATGTTCTGTTGGTTCCTCCCAATTGAGTGTTCATTTCTCAGTTGGAATGATATGCACATTTGCAGTAACATATCAGATTTCATTGAACATTGTTTTCTTTGCAAAACAAAAATTTCTCTTTTTCAATATTGTAAAGATAATAGAATTTGACCCCTCTAACCAAGGGTAACTGGAGTATAGAAATATGGTGACCTTGGTCTTCTTCCTATCAATAGTAAAACCCTTACCAAAGTGTGTGTCCATTTGGTTGTGTGGGATGAATAAATACAGTCACATCTGGTCAGAATGGGGATGTCAAATCTGATTACCCATGTAGAGATTGTGCAGTCTTAGCATGTTAAAGAACTCTTCCAACAACTCTTTGAGGGTCCATATGTCAGGGCAATCTATATTTCTGCCCATATCAAACATACCCTCACTTCCAGTGATAGTCCAGATTTCAGGCCCTTAATATCAGTCAGCCTACCTTGCATAACCTAGCTTTTGTATTTATTGTCAATAGTTTCTCATCCTGAATATGCATTAAATTATTGCCACTGGAAGCACTGCAAACAACAATCAATAAATGATAATTTGGCAAAAACTTTTGCTATTTTTATTACAAACACAGGGATTTATTGCAGAAGGGTGATAAATCGATAATAAAAAGTGGTATTTAACAACAAGCTTTTCAAG